AATAGATATGGTGCTCATTTTACAGGATGTTGACCAAACATCTGTCAAAATGAAAATGCACATTGCAAAAAATGCAAATAAAAAATTGCAAGTTTACTAGAAAGAGTATTCAAAACTGAACACATCAGTAAAATCCACTTTTCCACAGTGTTTCCAAATTTCACAGAGTTCATCATGCCAAAAGTTTCCTAAACATGCACCATATTTGATACACATGCTGCAGTTCTGTTGTTTTTTTTTGCTCATCAAAGTTTTTTTTTTCAGGTACTCTTTATCTGTTTTTCTTCTCAGTCATTTGGCTGGCTCCAAAAATGATCTAAAAACATTTTTTTAATGTCCCAGGGCACTGAATAGAATATATATCTTTTAAATATAAGCCATGTTAAATAAGTCTGTCAGCTGCAACTTCTTTGATTTTATATAAAAACTAATACAGAGGCAAGTGGGAAATTTTTAGCCTTTCAATGCACAAAATTATACAAATAATGAACAGAATTAAGTTGATCAATGTCTTTTATAATACCATAAATTTATAAAAACATAAGCAATATTTCATGACATATTTTACAATCCTCAATTAAGTTCCTTCACATGCATTTGAAAAGTACCAAACTTATTATGTCCATGTTACTTTACAAAAGACAGTAACATTATAAAAATATATAAGATGATCTCTAATTTAGAACTGTCATAAAATAAGCATTTGAAGCTACTGCACTGAAAGAATGGCAAAAGATGTGAAACACTAATTGGAGTCTGTAAGAAAATCAAGGGGTCCCAAAACTGAGTCGGAAAATACAATTTTTATTTTAAAACAGAGACTCAAGACTTAACATGAATAATGGATTTTCCTGAGGACAAAAACACAGAATAAAAAATTACACGTTTTATATATTAAATACATGCAACTTTGAACCGTACACACATTAATTCCTAGCTGTCAGTCTACATTATCACTTCTTGACAAATCAGATATAAATAACTTACATGAAAGTATGATATTCACAAATGATTGATTTGTATACTGACTAGCAGAAGTGAACTATTTGCGTGGATATAGTAATAGTTCATAAACTGAAACACACCATTTTTAAAATGTTAATTCGTTTACAGTGTTTGATAGTATACTCTGATGCTCATATGCCACCAAATCATTGATAACATTTTGAAGGTCTTCATCCTCTTCAAGATTTTCATCTCTTTTTATGTCATGGGATTTTCCAGATCTTTCAGCTTCTCTCTGCTTCTTCAGACATAAACTTCCAAAGAAACTTCTAATCTGTTGATGTGAAAGCCATTCCGCTGGCGAAAAAAGACAGTTCCCATCGACATCTGTCTCACATCTCATTTGTTTGGAGATTGTAAAAGGACTAGGCTTTTTTCCAGACTCTTCTCCATGATAATATAAAACTGATAAATAGTTCTTTACCTTTGGAGAGAAGCGGACTGCTTTTTTTCTCTTTTTTAATGCATATCCGGGGCATTCAGCAAAATATTTAGATTCAGAGAGTTCCACACTGTAGCAGGATGAAGGTTGATTCAGTTGCAGTTCCTGGCATTGGAAAGACCAAATTCGCATGCTCCTGTCTGTCAGGTTGTCCAAATTTTCATCATCATACACATGCTTACCGACAGCAAGATGCTGAATCAGTTGATTTTCTTTTTTAAACACCCTAATACAATCTGGTTCAATACAAGGAAAATTGTCTCTGTTTGTGCTTCCTCTGGTATATGATGCTTTGAAATCTGGTCTTTTTGGGTCAGAAAAAACCTATGGAAAATATATGATGCATTTAATATACTATCATCATAACAATTTGCAGCAAAATCTTGAACAAAAATTATTGTCATTGAAAAATTCTACAAAGTAATTAAATTTATCTTACCAACTTTTCATCTGCTAATGACAGTTGCTCAGAAATCCTGGAAATATCTGATGCATTTATCAGCTCTCCTCCAATCCCATAAGCTTTGTAAGCCTTAAGTCCTTCATCTTCAAAGCTGAAATTGTTATACTTTGAGATCTGAAAATTTTTCAACTGTCCACAAAGTACTGGCTGTGTATCAATTTGTGATGTTGGGCTAACAATGGAAACATAGGTGTTTCTAACACCACCATGACTTTCAAGTGCTTCCTTCATTTGCAAAGTGTTTGTGATGTCATGGCCTTCATTGATGTAATTAAGCATGTGAAGCCTGCAAGATCCTGTTCGTGAGTCACACAAGTCTTTGCCAGATTGCGCTTCACTGAAATTATACTGCTTTACAACTAATGGCAATTCATTGCGGAATTTCCAGAGATAGGACAGCATTGGTAAGGAATGGTAACAACCCGCATTATCTGATCTGATGTATGCATCCTTTAGATGTGGATGGATGGACTTCAACACTTTGAAAGCATTGTTGAAAATTTGACTGACTAAGTGCCATCCTTGCTTTCCTTCTTCCACAAGATGCACTATGGAAATTATCTCAATGTTCTTTTGGTCTTCTTTGTCTTCTGTTGTTGACTGTGCCTGACAAAGAATGCCACAAATCATGTGCCAGCTGATACCCTGCTTGCCAAACCACTCGTTCTGTGTTTCACGGAAAGTTTGTGGCAAATACTTCATTGCCCAGTCAGCAATGATCATCACTTCATGTAGCTGTAGGTTCTGAATGATATTCTCTCTGCACAGATCCTGGTTCACTGTTCTAATTGAATGATCTCTCCAGGCCCATATCTTTTCTGTTGCCAACTCAAAATCATGGTTTGTTTCTTCTTTGTCTTGAGTGCTGATAAAAGTTGTATGTTTTATGAGATCACCAATTTCCAATTTCATATGATACATAGTTTCACATAACTGGCAGCTAGTATTATGCAAATGATCACATTCTTTTTCGGACAATGCAAACTGTGTACAGTGTTGAATGCAGTCACTGGAAGGGGAGATGTGACTTTTGAACTCATTCTTCAGATGTACCTTCAATGTTTCTAGCATTTTCTGGATTTCAGTAACTTTGCTCTCTGGAAGACCCTTCATAGCAAGAGTGGATATCAATTTGTTCAAAGTATCAATACCATCCATTCCATCACTGATGTAGTTATCCAACCCATGCAGAGACTTCAGTTGAGAGGCAGGGCATGCTTTGATGATTTTATAAAGGGTTGCTCTTGATGGAGGAAGGATTGAGTTTTCTTTGCAATAGGAATTATATGCTGTGATGAGTCGAGAAGCTATCATAGTTCGTATCACTTTTGGAATTTTTACACTTAGGCCTGATGATAATTTCAAGTGTCTTGATCCAAATCCAACAACTTGCAGGTAAGCTGGAGATGAAATAAACTGAATGAAGTGATGTATCTTCTCCTTTGGTATACGTACTCTTGTGATCTTTGGTGGCGTAATGTACTGCCCAGGTCCATGGGTTGCAGCATATTTTCTTGCAGCATCAATCTTGTACAGAGTTAACCCATCAACAAGAGACAAGAGTTCTGATTTGGTATACTGTCCAACAATTATTGATAAAATCTGCACTTTTGTAGTATGGTCCTCTGCCTTCATGTAAGCAGAAATAACTGCTTCGGTAACTGCATCACTTTGTTTTGGTTTTTCCTTTGGAATGCTGTCAAAAACTTGAAGCATCAACTCTGTACCTTGGCATGGTGCAATACTCTCACAAACAAGCTCAATTGCTAAACGTGCTTGGCGTATGTAAAACTTCCTTGTAGAGTACTGCAACTGGTCCAACTTCTGAGATACCTGGCACTTTAAAGGAGGGTAATCTCCACTTGATAGGATATCCATTGCATGGTTGAACAGTTCACGCTGAGATCTTTCATCTTTTGACCAATTAGATGCACTTGTTGACTGGGATGATATGAATTCAAAATCTGAAAAAATCAGTGACAGATTTATGTTTTTTTTACAATTAAAGTTTATATATAAGGGATATTGCAATATCTGAAGATGGCATTTTAATAAAGTTAATTTTCACCTATGCCCCTGTACAAAAGGACATATATTGTGATGTTTATGATGTCCTAAATGACATCCTGATCAATTTCAACATTATAACAAAAGGACCATGGGCCACAATGCTCACCTGAGTCACCTCCTTTTCCTATTACAGTCATACCCATTGGAAACATATAAGTCATGAAATTATACAGAAAATTTGAGAAAATATTAACTTCAAATCTGTGTCCAAGCACCTTTAATATAATATGCTTTCCATAAAAGGTAGCTAGTGTACCCAACTTGTTTAAAAAATGTGTTTACATATAAACACACATATATATACCTGCCTTTGCCTGTACAAGTTATTTATAAAAAAATTGATATACTCTGGATAGATAATTACAATTTCTTTTGGAGAGGGGGTCAAGGTTAATGTTTTTTTTACCTATAGGTAATATATTTTCTGTTACTTCCATTTGCTCCACTCTTTGCTCTGTAAAATAATTAAAAAGGTCATGATGTATATACCCATATAGATAACAGCTAAAAATGCTTATGCTAAGCACAATGCTTCTGTTTTGAATGAATCATTTAAATAAAGCCCAAAACTGGAACTATATGGACTGGACTTATCAGTTTATAAGTCACATCCTCACCATTTTGACTTAACTTCATGTAAACTGTTCTTAGTGATTTTGTTTATCAAGATTTAACCGTATAATAACCATCATAATCATAATAACTTGTGTATACATTATACAATATTATAGTACATGCACAAACTCTGTTAATAATGTCATTTGATTTGCATGATCACAATGACCATGCACATGTATTTTATTCACTAGTGTGGAAATGATACATACATTGATACATGTATTTTAAATTCATTTTGAGATAAATTAAACATTGATTGTATCTATATATATATATCTCTCTCTCTCTCTCTCTCTCTCTCTCTCTCTCTCTCTCTCTCTCTCTCTCTCTCTCTCTCTCTCTCTCTATATATTATTATTATTATTATTATTATTATTTATAATTATTATTATTATTATTATACTAGAGTAAGTGATCACCTGTTTGGTTTGATGCATTTGCTGTCTTTTCAAGCAAGGAACACATTTCTACAAAAGAAACATTTATTTACAATACTTAATAATCCTCAGAGTTAATCTTTAATTTCCAAACAGGACTGGAACATGCAGGTACATGTGAAGTCTATCAATATTATGAAACTATTGAGTGTAAAAGCCATTCATCAAGATTTACTGTATATTCCTTAATTTATGCATTAATACTTTTTAAAATATCAAATACACTCATAAATGTCAAATTGTGAGAACATTAATTATGTTCCCCAAACGAAGTTTGGGAACATATTGTTTTTACTCTGTTTCTTCTTATTATGTTCCCCAAACGAAGTTTGGGAACATATTGTTTTTACTCTGTTTCTTATTATTATTATTATTATTAAGGTCTTCCGTCTCCAACGGAAGACCTTATTGTTTTCGTTCGGTTTCTTTTTCCCTATTATTATTATTAAGGTCTTCCGTCTCCAACGGAAGACCTTATTGTTTTCGTTCGGTTTCTTTTTCCCTATTATTAAGGTCTTCCGTCTCCAACGGAAGACCTTATTGTTTTCGTTCGGTTTCTTTTTCCCTATTATTATTATTATTATTATTCTTACCGATTTTGTGCACACGAGTTCTCGGTAACGTCTTGGCCGATTCTCATGAAACTTTCAGAACTGATAGGTATTGATCTGAACCTTATTGGAAATTTTTTTCGTTGATGACGTCACTTTCCATCTCGAGATATTTAGGATTTTCTGATTTTTAGAGGGTCGGCTTGTCCTGGAAACTCCTCCGAAACGACTTAAGATATTGAGTCAAGATTTTCAGTGAAGGTAGGGGAAGGTTGGTAGATTTGCAGGCAGGTGTCCAAATTTCTCTAGCGCAAAAGGCGCCGAAGCTCGGTAGGGCTCAAAAACTGTCTCGGAAACATCTCACAAAATTTAACACCTTTTCTTTCATACCTTCATACATATTAAGAATTTGTTAAAACATATAGAAGAAAAGTTGTGCAGAATGAGACGACCTTTCATTTAATATCAAGAAAAAGGGGCTGACCCCTCAAATTAGGGGCTGAGAGGGGCCAAAAGTCTTTAATCTTTAACTTTTTAACAGTCAATAATTTGTAATACATTACTGAAGCAAAGATGTTTATCTTAACAATTTACAACAATATATGATAAGATTTTGATCATATGTTACGTAATAAGGGGTCACAAGGGGCCAGAATGCTAAATATTTGACGCTTTATATCTCGAAAAGGGAGAATATTTTGATAAGCAATACTGAACAAAAGATGGTCAGAATAATGTTCTAAACAATATACACTCTTTCAATTTTTGTCAAACGGCCCCATTAAGGACCTGTAGGGGTGGCCCCTTAATATTTCCATTCAGCATATCTCCACAACGAAAAGAAATCTCTGAATAGTTGTTGAACAAAAAGTCTTTAAATTCACAAGACCTTTCATTTGATATCAAGAAAAAGGGGCTGACCCCTCAAATTAGGGGCTGAGAGGGGCCAAAAGTCTTTAATCTTTAACTCTTTAACGACCAATAATTTGTAATACATTACTGAAGCAAAGATGTTTATCTTACCGATTTACAACAATATATGATAAGATTTTGATCATATGTTACGTAATAAGGGGTCACAAGGGGCCAGAATGCTAAATATTTGAAGCTTTATATCTCGAAAAGGGAGAATATTTTGATAAGCAATACTGAACAAAAGATGGTCAGAATAATGTTCTAAACAATATACACTCTTTCAATTTTTGTTAAACGGCCCCATTAAGGACTTGGAGGGGTGGCCCCTTAATATTTCCATTCAGCATATCTCCAGAACGAAAAGAAATCTCTGAAAAGTTGTTGAACAAAAAGTCTTCAAAATCACAAGACCTTTCATTTGATATCAAGAAAAAGGGGCTGACCCCTCAAATTAGGGGCTGAGAGGGGCCAAAAGTCTTTCATCTATACCTCTTTAATGATCAATAATTTGTAATACATTACTGAAGCAAAGATGTTTATCTTAACGATTTACAACAATATATGATAAGATTGTGATCATATGTTTCGTAATAAGGGGTCACAAGGGGCCAGAATGCTAAATTTTAGATACTTTATATCTCGAAAAGGGGGAATATTTTAATAAGCAATACTGAACAAAAGATGGTCAGAATAATGTTCTAAACAATATACACCCTTTCAATTTTTGTCAATCGGCCCATTAAGGACTTGGAGGGTGGCCCCTAAATATTTCAATTCAGCATATTTCCACAACGAAATGAAATCTCTGAATATTTCTTGAATAAAACGTTTTCTAAATCACAAGGCCTTTCAACTGATATCAGGAAAAAGGGGCTGACCCCTCAAACTAGGGGCTCAGAGGGGCCAAAAGCATATGATCTATAGCTCTTTGATAATGTTATATAAATCAAAAGAAGGAAATCTAATTAGGAAAATCTATATATTATAATCTTTTAACAAAGATCATAGTCAAAATCATATCTCATCTTATCGAAAAATCGGACGGAAGACCTACTCGTTGCTCGCAACGAGATCTCATCTAGTTATTATTATTATTATTATTATTTTTCTTCCAACCGATTTTGTGCACGCGATTTCTCAGAAACGGCTGGGCCGATTTACACCAAACTTTCAGATGTAAAAGGTATTCAATTAATCTTGATAGGTTTTTTTTGTTTTTTAATGACGTCACTTCCGGTCGTGAGATATTGACGATTTTCTGATTTTCAGAGGGTTGGCTTGTCCTGGAAACTCCTCCTTAACGACTAAAGCTATTGAGTTAAGATTTTCAGTGAAGATAGAGGAAATATTGTAGATGTGCAATTGGGCATCTATATTTTTCCAGCTCAAATGGCGTTGAAGCTCGCCTGGGCTCGAAAAATAGGCTCACAAACATCTCGCAAAATTTGACACGTTTTCTTTTATATCTTTTTACCTGTAAATATTTTGTTAAAACATGTATTACAAAAGATGTGTAAAATGATAAGACCTTTCATTTGATATCGAGAAAAAAGGGCTGATCCCTCAAATTAGGGGCTCAGAGGGGCCAAAAGTCTTTTATGTATAACTCTTGAACGATCAATATTTTGTTATAAATTACTGAAGCAAAAATGTTCATCTTATCGATTTGCAACTATATGGTTAAAAATTTTGATCATATGTTACGTAATAAGGGGTCAAAAGGGGCCAGAATGCTAAATCTTTGACGCTTTATATCTCAAAAAGGGGGAATATTTTGATAAGCAATATTGAACAAATGATGTTCAGAATAATGTTCTAAACGATATGCAAGGTTTCAATTTTTGCAAAACGGCCCCATTAAGGACTTCAAGGGCTGGCCCCTAAATATTTCAATTCAGCATATCTCGAAAACGAAAATAGATTTCTGAATAGTTGTTGAACAAAAAATCTTCAAAATCACAAGACCCTTCAATTGATATCAAGAAAAAAGGGCTGATCCCTTAAATAAGGGGCTCAGGGGGCCCAAAAGTCTTTCATGTATATCTTTTGAACGATCAATAATTTGTTATAAATTACTGAAGCAAATATGTTCATCTCAACGATTTGCAACTATATGTTTTAAAATTCTGATCATATGTTACGTAATAGGGGGTCAAAAGGGGCCAGACTGCTAAATCTTTGATGCTTTATATCTCGAAAAGGGGGAATATTTTGATAAGCAATACTGAACAAAAGATGGTCAGAATAATGTTTTAAACAATATGCACCCTTTCAATTTTTGTCAAACGGCCCCATTAAGGACTTGGAGGGGTGACCCCTAAATATTTCCATTTAGCAGATATCCACAACGAAAAGAAATCTCTGAACAGTTGTTGAACAAAAAGTCTTCAAAATCACAAAACCTTTCATTTGATATCAAGAAAAAGGGGCTGACCCTTCAAATTAGGGACTGAGAGGGGCCAAAAGTCTTTCATCTCTAACTCTTTAACGATCAATAATTTGTAATACATTACTGAAGCAAAGATGCTTATCTTAACGATTTACAACAATATATGATAAGATTCTGATCATAGGTTACGTAATAAGGGTCACAAGGGGCCAGAATGCTAAATCTTTGACCCTTTATATCTAGAAAAAGGGGGAATATTTTGATAAGCAATACTGAACAAAAGATGGTCAGAATAATGTTCTAAACAATATGCACCCTTTCAGTTTTTATCAAACGGCCCCATTAAGGACTTGGAGGGGTGGCCCCTAAATATTTCCATTCAGCATATCTCCATAACGAAAAGAAATCTCTGAATAGTTGTTGAACAAAAAGTCTTCAAAATCACAACTTTTAATTGATAACAAGAAAAAGGGGCTGACCTCTCAAACTAGGGGCTCAGAAGGGCCAAAGCATGTCATTTATAGCTCTTTGATAATGCTATGTAAATCAGTAGAATGAAATCTAATTAGAGAAGTCTATATATTATTAACTTTTAACAAAGGTCATAGTCAAAATCATATTTTATCGAAAAATCGGACGGAAGACCTACTCGTTGCTCGCAACGAGATCTCATCTAGTTATTTTTATTATTCTTACCGATTTTGTGCACGCGAGTTCTCGAAAATGTCTTGGCCGATTTTCATGAAACTTTCAGATCTGATAGGTATTGATCTGAACCTTATTGGAAATTTTTTTCGTTGATGACGTCACTTTCCATCTCGAGATATTTAGGATATTCTGATTTTTAGAGTGTCGGCTTGTCCTGGAAACTCCTCCGAAACGACTTAAGATATTGATTCAAGATTTTCAGTGAAGGTAGGGGAAGGTTTGTAGATTTGCAGGCAGGTGTCCAAATCTCTCTAGCGCAAAAGGCGTCGAAGCTCGGTAGGGCTCAAAAAATGTCTCAGAAACATCTCACAAAATTTCAAACCTTTTCTTTCATATCTTCACACCTGTTAAGAATTTGTTAAAACATATAGAAGAAAAGTTGTGCAGAATGTTACGACCTTTCATTTGATATCAAGAAAAAGGGGCTGACCCCTCAAATTAGGGGCTGAGAGGGGCCAAAAGTCTTTCATCTATAACTCTTTAACGATCAATAATTTGTAATACATTACTGAAGCAAAGATGCTTATCTTAACGATTTACAACAATATATGATAAGATTCTGATCATATGTTACGTAATAAGGGGTCACAAGGGGCCAGAATGCTAAGTCTTTGACGCTTTATATCTCGAAAAGGGAGAATATTTTGATAAGCAATACTGAACAAAAGATGGTCAGAATAATGTTCTAAATAATATGCACCCTTTCAATTCTTATTAAACGGCCCCATTAAGGACTTGGAGGGTTGGCCCCTAAATATTTCCATTCAGCATATCTCCACAACGAAAAGAAATCTCTGAATAGTTGTTGAACAAAAAGTCTTCAAAATCACAAGATCTTTCAATTGGTATCAAGAAAAAGGGGCTGACCCCTCAAATTAGGGGCTCAGAGGGGCCAAAAGTCTTTCATCTATAACTCTTTTACGATCAATAATTTGTAATACATTACTGAAGCAAAGATGCTTATCTTAACAATTTACAACAATATATGATAAGATTCTGATCATATGTTACGTAATAAGGGGTCACAAGGGGCCAGAATGCTAAGTCTTTGACGCTTTATATCTCGAAAAGGGAGAATATTTTGATAAGCAATACTGAACAAAAGATGGTCAGAATAATGTTCTAAACAATATGCACCCTTTCAATTTTTGTCAAACAGCCCCATTAAGGACTTAGAGGGGTGGCCCCTAAATATTTCCATTCAGTATATCTCCACAACGAAAAGAAATCTCTGAATAGTTGTTGAACAAAAAGTCTTTAAAATTACAAGACCTCTCATTTGATATCAAGAAAAAAGGGCTGATCCCCTAAATTAGGGGCTGAGAGGGGCCAAAAGTCTTTTATGTATAACTCTTGAACGATCAATATTTTGTAATACATTACTGAAGCAAAGATGCTTATCTTAACAATTTACAACAATATATGATAAGATTCTGATCATATGTTACATAATAAGGGGTCACAAGGGGCCAGAATGCTAAGTCTTTGACGCATTATATCTCGAAAAGGGGGATTATTTTGATAACCAATGCTGTACAAAAGATGGTCAGAATAATGTTCTAAACAATATGCACCCTTTCAATTTTTGTCAAACAGCCCCATTAAGGACTTGGAGGGCTGGCCAATAAATATTTCAATTCAGCATATCTCCATACCGAAAAGAAATCTCTGAATAGTTGTTGAACAAAAAGTCTTCAAAATCACAAGACCTTTCATTTGATATCAAGGAAAAGGGGCTGACCCTTCAAATTAAGGGCTCAGAGGGGCCAAAAGCCTGTCATATATAGTTCTTTGATAATGTTATATAAATCAAAAAAATGAAATCTAATTAGGGAAGTCTATATATTATTATCTTTTAACAAAGATCATAGTCAAAATCATATCTCATCTTATCGAAAAATCGGACGGAAGACCTACTCGTTGCTCGCAACGAGATCTCATCTAGTTATTATTATTATTCTTTTTTTCTACTTTCTTCTCCGGTACTTTTTTGTCCGGGAGTGTTCTCATAGAACCACTCATCCGATTGACATGAAACCTTTTTAGGGTTAATAGGCATGCTGTGTAGGTGTGTGGAACGAAGGTCATTTTGCGCGCACATGCATGCGCGTGCGCGCGCGTGCAATGAGTGAAATGACTGATATACTTGATGAAGCCGTAACTTTTATATTTCTTGATCAATTGCTTTGAAACTCAAAATATAAAGATATATTAGTAGTCTAGACAAGACAACATGGTCAAATTAGCGTGAACTCACGCGCATGCATGTGCGCTCTTCTCTGATTGGCTGATACAAAAATCTCAATAATTTCCTTGTTTTTTGACAAAATACTTTGAAATTTAGAATATAAGTATATATTATAAGGTGCTACAACATGTTATATAGGAAATTTCTTGAAAACACGCGCATGCAGGTGTGCTGCAAACTGATTGGTTGAAACTTTAAATGTCTTTAACTCCCTTGGTTTTTAACAAAACAGGATGAAATTTAAGACATGGATAGGCACATAGAGCTCCTACATTATGATACTATCAAAATTGAATGCAAGGCCATGCATGCGCGTATGCTGAATTTTGATTGGCTAATACTTAAAGGGTTACATCTCTCTTATTTTTCAATGAAATTCTTTAATATTTAAAACAAATGTATGTATTGTGAGACACTATAAGATAATTAATGTAAAAAATGTAGCTATTAGATTGGCTCATACCCATATGGCTATATCGGAGTAGTTTTCCAATGAAATACCCTTAAAAATAAAGTGTCCATCTATATTACAAAAGTATTGTCTAATTTATTGAAGCTTGTAGGGAATGGGGCATCACAAAGGATTGGGGAGCCGTTTGGGGAACATCTGTAACGGTTCCCGTTACAATTAGCACTAGTTATTATTATTATTATTATTTTTCTTCCTGGGTACTTTTTTGTCCGTGAGTGATCTCCGAAACTACACATCCGATTGAGGTGAAACCTTTTTAGGGTTACTAGGCATGTTATGTAGATTTGCGGAACGAAGGTCATTTTGCGCGCACGCGCATGCACGTGCGTGCGCGTGCAATGCGTAAAATGACAAATATACTTGATATAGCTGTAACTTTTATATTTTTTGATAAAATGCTTTGATACTCAGAATATAAGGATATATTAAAAGTGTGAACAAGATGACATGGTCAACATGCACATGCATGCACGTGCGCGCACGCGCAAAGCGTAAAATGACCAATTTACTTGATATAGTTGTAATTTTGAAACTTTTTGATGAAATGCTTTGATACTCAAAATATTTATATGCATTTAAAGTGTAGACAAGACGACATGATCATCATGCATATGCATGCACGTGCGCGCACGTGCAATGTGTTAAATGACCAATTTACTTAATATAGCCGTACTTTTTACATTTTTTTATGAAAAGCTTTGATATTAAGAATATACAGATATATTAAAAGTGCAGACAAGATGATGTGGCCATTATGCACATGCATGCACATGCGCGCGCGTGCAATGTCTTTAATGACCAATATACTTAATATAGCCATAACTTTTATATTTTTTGATGAAAAGCTTTCATACTAAGAATAAACAGACATATTATAAGTGTAGACAAAATGGCATGGTCATTATGAACATGCATACAGGTGCGCGTGCGCGCAATGCTAAGATGACCAATATACTTGATATAGCCGGAACTTATATATTTCTTGATGAAATGTTTTGATACTGAGAATATAAAGATGCATTTATAGTATAGACGGAATGACATGGTCAACCTGCACATGCATGCATGCACGTGCGTGAAATGCGTTAAATGACCAATATACTTAATTGCCTTATTTAATGAAGCTTACAGGAAATGACACCAAAAGGGTGTTGGGGAGCGTTTGGGGAACATCTGTAACGGTCCCCGTTACAATTAATACTAGTTTACAAGAAGTATGTGATCCAAATGCTCACTAGTATTACCCTCACTCTGATAGGAATATTCCTTGTCATGTGAATATACAGAAATTTGGTAAGGAAAGACGTACACATAAACAGGAAGTTCACATATAGGATTTGTACAAAAATGAATCCCACCATATGGCATGCCTAAACAAAGAGTATGCTCAAATTTCAAGCAACTTCCTTGAGTAGTTGCTGAGAAAACTACGACAGAAATTTTGTATGCACTGTCTGACAGGGATAATCAGGAAGTTGACATCAGATTTGTACAAAAATTAATCACACCAAATGGCATGCGAAAGCAAAGAGTGTGCTAAAATTTCAAGCATCTGCGATGAATAGTTGCTGAGAAAACTGCGACAAGAATTTGTTATGGACAGACATACAGATGGACACATAAGGGTAAAACAGTATACCCCCTCTCCTTCAGAGCGGGGGTATAATGAATGGACTGCTGTTCAAGAGTTTTTATTTTTTATATATATTTTAGCTGTACAAAAATAAAAGCAACTGATTTTATTTTGCAAGTGAAGCTTGACTAAAGACTGAATGAAATAATTTGATAAAACTTCTCTCACTCTCTCTATGTACAGTATATGTACCTTTCAGCTCTTCCTTCAGATCTATCCCCATACTGATTTCTTTTTTGTGTGTTTCTATGCATCTTCTGCATATACCTGTAACAATCAGCATGATCAGAAATTAAATATGTTTATAACTATAAATCATAATAGAATACACATGTATGATGTATATATACTTATAGCCTAAATATCAGTAGATGTTTCACACATTTTACAGAATTAATACAGGCTGATTAGGATATCACTGTTTGCTTTTACATCACAGGGTTGTCCATTAAAGACCTAGGGGTTAGGGAATTTTCCCAGCTATGGTGACATACATGTAATTCCCACATTATTCTGGCATTGTCCGCTCTACTTCACTAGTAGTGGGAGGAATCCCAGACACCCTTCTCATTTTAGAATGTCACCTTCTATTTTGCTTCTTACTGACAACCCTGATATTATGTACAGCAGTGTCTTTCTGCAAACTTTTAAAGTTAACTCAAGTGGTTCTGAAAAATTTCTTTAGTCTTTAATTTACTGAAAATAAATAAATAAATCTGCATAATGTTCTTACCAGATCCAATCGGCAAAACCACATTCAACTTGAGCCATATCTCTCGACTTTGGACAACAGTGACTCCTCGAGCGATAGTACTGGATTTACTTTTATCATGCAATGGATGACAATAGGTCCTTTTGTTTCTCTTCCAATGCAAACCCAAAATATTTCTGTGTTTGAGGCATACATGTTTATATAAATTAGACAGTCCAAGTCCCATAACACCTGCACGGTTTAATATAAGAACACTTTCAGGGATATGAATGTCCTCTGTGCTGCATTTTAGGTACCTGGCATGACTAGTTGTATCTTTTTTACACTCTTTCAATAAAACCAAGGTGTTTTCATCACAATTGTCACCAAATGAACACCTCATCTTGTCGTCTGCCATTAGATGTCATACTCTTACTTCCTTTAAATAAGGAGAGTTCCACTAAGGGAGATAATTTTTCTGATAGTTTTACCCAATTTCATTTGATTTTTAAACTTGTATAATGTTATTTGCAACCAAAATCCTTTTAGCTACTAATTGATTTTGTTGAAGTTTTTCATTTAAATAGATATTCATAATATTTTATGCGTTTCTTGGGTTTTTACAACATTCTACATAGAGTGGTAGTTTTCCACACATTGATTTAATCAATTTTAGATCTCACTACATATAGAGTCAAAGTTGATATTAAAATAAAAACAAATATTTCTAGTTAGGGCATTTCCCAAACTTTAAAAAAATATTTTTCATTTGAATAAAATTGCATTTTTTATTTTAATTTTTATCCTCTAAACTTATGATGTTTTCTTAATATTTTTCTTACGAAACAGTGCTAAAAATAGAACAGGCCCTTTAAATAGAAAAACATGGGTTACTGGCAGTTTGCATGCTGAGTTTTATTAGAGGACACATAATGCTAATTAGAAAATATAAAATCAGTTAAAATGATCACAATGCCTTTCATAAGAAAATTTGGATTTTGCATGGTTCTCTCGTAGACACGCATTTAATACATTTAACAAATCTAAATGGAAAACATCAGAAAAATATATTTGAAGAAATCTTCAGAAAAAGGCAGGGCCTAGGATCTTCATCCCCCCTCACCGGTCACGGTAGCCTAGTGGTAGGGGACTCGCTTCGTGATCGGGAGGAACGGGTTCGATTCTCGTTCGCCGCGCCGCGTCAAACCTAAAACGTAAACATAGTGACTGTTCCTTCGCCAAGCGTCCGGCGCTAGAAGAGCAAGTCACGGGTCTTTCGGATGAGACCTTAAAACCGAGGTCCTGTGTCACGGTAGGCGCTGGCACGATAAAGAACCCTCACTGCTCAAAGACCCTAATTGCCGAGTATAGTTCTAAATTCGAAGATCTTCAACGGCATACTGTGACGTCTCTATATGAGTGAAAACTTCTCGAATGGGACGTTAAACAGCATATAATTAATTAATCAATCAATCATCCCTCGACTTTATAAGTTTTGTAAGATCAAATTTTAAAGCTCATTGACAACATGACCCTACGTGAGAAAGCTGTTTCTTGTTTGTTTTTTTAGCCTATTGTTTATCATACAAATTCCAGCCGTTGGGAGTTCTTTTAGTCCAACCTAATTGTGTACATATCTAATTAATATGATTCATTTGAGTAAAATACATCATTTGTAACGCTATTGTTAACTAGACAGCCAGTCTACAAAACTCACAGACAAAAAGATCTAATTTGGCAAAATGATAATATTTTGTCTTCTTAACACTTTTCTTTTGTTGATTTTTGATCCACATCATTCATGTACAAAGTCTATCAAAAACTGAGGTTCTCGATTTTTTATCTAATATTTTTGAAAATTGACGCTATATAAAAACGCCTCATCTGAATGATGATCAACACAAAAAGGAAACTGGGCGTCTGAAAGCAGATGGATCACTTTCTACAATTGCAAAAAAATTAAATGTTGCACAAAACACCATATCTCAGATAATAGACAGCACAGACACCAACATCATGGAATAACAAATGGTCGCCAAAGGTATGGCGGACCACACGTGACATCAACAGCACAGGATCGTCATTGGTTTGCGTCATCTTCATTAATGTTCCACAATGACGTTGTCTACAGGATTAGCTATCCCTGAGCTGTATAGAATATCAAACAAGACCGTTTGCAGTTGACGGTGGGATGATGGAATTAGAGCCAGAGGACTTTTTCTTGCCATTGTTCTGACCTCACAACACCGCCAATATCGACTTCAAAGGTCTCAGACCAACAGACTTTGGCCATGAGTCCAGATTTTTTTTTATTGCAAACCGTGATGAAAGAGTCATAAGAGTATAAGCTTCGTAATGAACGTTTTGCAGAAAAAATGCGTCCGGGAGGTTGATAGATTTCGTGTTGGTAGTGTTATAATATGGGCAACGGTATTGTTTACAAACAGGACTGAATTGATTCATATTCAAAGGACTTTGACAGCATAACGGTACTCTGACAATATCCTGCCTGCACATGACTTTCCAATAATGCAGCATCATGGAGCCATATTTCAATCTGACAATACAAAGCCACATTCTGCTTGTCTGACAAGTGCGTTCTGGCAAAGCCAAAACATCTAGTCCTGCATTAGTCATCTAAATCGCTAGATTAAACCCATTGAACATGCATTGCACGAAATGGATAGGCATGTCAGTCAGAGACAACCGCGTCCCAAGAATATGCAACAGCTGAGCCAAGCTCTACATTTAGAGTGGGGGAGTATTCTAATGCAGTTTTTAATACACTGATTTGAGTCCAAGGGGTGACGTTTTAGGCTTTCATTGGTTCTGTAGGGGGCATACCAGGTTTTGATCTTTAATGACCTTGAACTGTCTATGATTGTAAAATTCTTGAGTAATTATAGCATTTAGATTGAGACCTATTGTTTACCACATTTCTTTGTTATCAATATATCAGTCTATGAAAACATTTATTTTTAATGTGTCACTTAAATTTCACTATGCGTTTCTTTTTTTGAAGAGTATATATACAACGATTTCTTGATAGTCTAAACTTAGCAAAGAAGAATTATCGAATCTTGAATACGCCTTCTGATTGGTAAATTTAGAAATTGATAGAAAATGAATCAGGAAGTTCGAATTTCGCACTCGAATGTTGAATGAGCCTGGGCTTTCGTACAAAGCCAAACTATTCTGACTTGGTTTATATATAATAATTTATAATATCCTATATACTGTATATTAATGAGATTTTTGTATGTTGAAATGAAATCGTTTAATTTAAAATCTAAAATCGTTGGAATTATTTAATATAGAATGTTTAGCCTAGTAGGAAAAAATCTATGGGTATTTGTTTTCAGTGAAATATAAGAGATTCCGACAATAATTATCTTTTTATTTACTTTTAGATGTTTTGAAAACAACAAGTTATGAGAAATCACCAAAATCCCAGAATGTGCCGGGTTTCAGTACATCAAAAACTTATTCTACGGAAAAGTTTGAAAACCATGACTTATTTTATAGAGGCATTGTAATTTCAATCGGAACATTGTTATTAAGTATTCTTTTTCTGATCGTTATATATGAAAGTTACAAAGTTCTGAAATTTTACTTTACTTCGAATGAGCAATATTATAATATCAACATCACCGATGATGTTTACGCCGAGATAAATCACATTGAAAATGAAGTCAGATAGATGTACGGCAAGGTTAGCAAACACACTACTTAAGAGACTGTGTTTCAAAGATACTTTGTAATCAACACTATTAAACATGAAATAATAATTCTATTCTTATTTGTTACTATTCAAACTTGAATGGAATTTACAGATATACATTGTATGTTATAACATTTGAAGTAGAGAAATGAAAACATTACCAACCTCACTCACTTACCTTATTTTTGTTATTTAAAGTTTTGATGATTAAAAAGATTATGTTTCTCACAAGGTTAACGTAACATTTTCAATTGTGAAGTATTGTGATTTATTTATTGAATAAAAGTGATATTCTTTCACAGTGTGAAAGGATATCAAAGTAAGTAAAAATGATTTCTGGGCTGTTATAAGATAGAGATAGTAACTAAACCGTCTTGATAGAGACTAAATCTGTAAATTTCCTGCCAAATATATTGCTAAAATACATGGTGCAATTTTTTTCAATTTAACAATTGCTAATCAACAGCTCAGCTATGACGTCACGGCCTACAAAACTGTGTTCAGAAAAGACAAAGACAAAGAGAAATAAAAGAAAATGTAATAAACAGAAATTTCAATGTTTTGTAGTTGGATATAGAATTTCTATCACTCGTGAGACAGGATTTTTTTTTACAAAATATTTTCACTCGTGCTTCTCACTCCTGAAAATATCAAAACATCCTGTCCCACTCGTGAAATAAATTCCATATCCAACAACAAAACGTTGAATACCCTCTATATATTTTACCGCTATAGAAACAAATCACTGATTCTACACACAGGTACTCTAAAGTACTCTACGTAAAGTTGATTTTAAGGTATGTCACTCCTGACATGAGTAAAATCAAAGATAAAGCTAAGGCGAGAAAACATTGATTTTTGTCATATTTTGCCCCCTAGATCACTTTTATGGTCGATATAAGACGATAAAATTAAACTATTCGATTTCACTAAGCATGAGCCAACCCGAAATTGTACACCTTAGATATCTTCTTCTTTACTCCTGGACATCAAGCAGTCAAACTTTTGGCATGATTGTAATAAACATTACTAGTAAGTCCTCTACCAAAATCGTGAAATTCATGGCAGTTAGAATGCAGCTCTAATGATCGTATTGTGAAAATGCATAAATTCTTTAAAAATCTTCTATTCCCCCTGTATATAAAGCAAATAAATCTAGTGGTTATGATGATCAAGGGTGCCTCTTTCAAAATTGTGAAATTTGTGGCCTCAGAGTCGGAGTTTTGCGGGAGGGGGGCTCTATTGATTATATAGTGAAAGCTCCTTTCTATTAAACAAACAAACCAAGTATATAGTTATAATGAGCAAGGGTGCATCTTCCAAAATTGTGAAATTCATGGCCCCTGGGTTGGGGGTTCTGGTGTTAAGGCAGGGCTCTATTGATTAAAGAGTGAAAATGCATTGATTCTTTGAAAGTCTTCCCCTCAGGTCCTGGGTATTTAGCATGCTACATGGTTATGATGATCAAGAGTTCCTCTTTCAAAATTGTGAAATTTGTGACCCCAGGGTCAGGGGGTTCAGGTGGGAGGGCGGGGCTATATAGATCATGAAGTTAAGTGCGTTATTTCTTTGAAAATCTTTTTCTCTGCTCCTGATTATTATGTTAAACAAACTAAGTGCATGGTTATGATGCGAAAGGGTGTCTCTTCCAAAATTGTGAATTTCATGACCCTGGTCATGGGTTCTTGTGTTAGGAT